ACAGTATAACAAATGTCATTGTAACCGAAAAGGAGGTATCTGATAAGACCTTACCAGCAAACAAATCTAGTGGACCTGATGGCATTAACATGAGAGTGTTAAAACGAATTTGTACATCTATAGCTGAACCTCTTTGTTTGTTGTATAATATATCACTGAGTGACTGTATTTCCTACATTGTGGAAAACGGGTAATGTTACTCCTATTTTGAAAGAAGGAGATGCATCCCTCCCAACTAATTACAGACCTATTAGTTTATTACCTGTCCTTTGGAAAATCCTTGAAAGAATAATGGTAAAGCATGTGCACGACCATTTCCATGAACATAACATTTTAAGTAAATTCCAGTCAGGTTTTACTGCTAGTCATTCTACTACATCTCAACATAGACATTTATCATAATATATGCTCAGTCCTAGATAATCACCACCTTTACTGTATGCTGTTTTGTGATATTTCAAAAGCTTTTTACAGGGCATGGCATAAAGGTTTATTGCACAAATTAGAAAATGATGGTGTTCGTGGAAACGTACTTAGTTGGTTAACTAACTATCTATCTGGGCCCGGTTGTTCAATACTCGGTTATCTTAAACGCCGGTTAACTCCTAACGGCCGGTTAAATCCTTAACCGGCCGTTAGGTAACCGAACGTTAAATATGCGTTGTTCAAAACATGGTTAGTCATGCCGTTAGCTAACGTCGCCGTCAAAGTTTAACAGTGTGGTTAACGTCACTGGTTAGCTTCCATATATCCCATAGTTCCGTTTTCTGTTTACTTCCGGTTTACCAAAAAATGGAAACGCAAAATGTCGCCTGCACCCCAAGGAAAAAAAGAAGTCGAAATTTCTCTGCTGACGAAGAGAATGTAATCCAGTCAATGGTTGAGGCCAACTCTATAGTTTATCATAGGCATGCGAATGTCGTAGCGTTACGAACGTTTTGTATTGGAAAACAAGGTTCCAGCCGTTTGCATAATTTATATTTCAAAGACATATGATCCCAGCTCTGTGTAGGACTTACTTCAATTCCAGCAACAGAAAAGACATTTTAATGAAAAACTATAGCACAGCTATAGATAAAATATGATGAATCCATGAAAATAATATTAATATTAGAAGCATGTTGTCCGTGGATAGAAAATGTATAAATATTACACACAGAGTTACGCTTAGACGGCTACAGTCTTAATGAATCTTTGAATTCCCACAAGACCTATCGCTCACTTTTCACTCCTTAAATTGTCATGACTGTATGGCCAAGTCGTGAAGATGCTATCAATATCATTTATTAATTATTTGCCAAGTCTGTCAAAATTTGTAATGTATGAACACACATTGCCAAATCAATTAATATCAAACAATATAGATGTTGTGTTATAATTACCATAGCTTTTATCTGAAATATGCATTCAATACCAATAGAAACTTAATATGTTACTAGCACCACGTGCAAGTAATCAAACTGTAATCGTACTTTAGGCCCCAGGGCCAACACTGTTGAATAAAATCGATCTATTATCCGACCTTACTTTTGACAGGAATCTCATGAATAATACTGTGCAATATCGTCATTATCTGAACGCCTTCACAGACGCATATTCCGGAAAGATGTCTTGAAAAAACATGAAGCTGCGTCTAATTTATAGATGAACATAATTTCCTCGATACTCATTAATCAGATGAACCTTCATTTAGTTCAATTCACAAGTGACTGCAGAAAATGCATAATTCTTGTTAATGACTTCACGGTCGGAAAACATATATTATATTTCATAAGTGCATTATAGAACGCTGTAGTAGATAAACATAATTTCCTCGATACTCATTAATCAGGTGAACCTCCATTTAATGCATAGATAGTTCTTTTCAATGTCTTCAAGGACGGAAAACATGTATTATATTTCATAAGTGTATTATAGAACGCTGCAACGATTCGGCAGAGAAATACTATTGTGCCATAGTATTCCTTATATGAACCTATCAGTGTATAACATTAGCATTCAGATATTGTTATAAAATAAGTTAAAAATTCCAAATATTATCGTGTAATATGACAAGAGATAGTGTTGTGTTCGCTGTGACAAAAGGTTTCGATATTCAAATATAACATTTAATCAAAGTGACTACGAAGTAGGCCTGCATATCACTCACAACAGAAATAGATACATAATAATGTTATGTTTATTTTCCTACACATCAGTTGCGAGAGCAATGTTTATGCTAACTAAGTTTTCATCAATTAATACAGCATTTTTAAAAGATGATTTGCTTCAATTAAAACATTCGAAGAATGAAAAAGAAATTAGGCCTATTGCTGAAATGATTAGTAAAAATATAATTAAAATCCATCTATGGGAAGGGATGCCAGACGGACATATCAAAACAAAATCGGATAATTACTTGGAGTATAGACTTTCAAAAATAGCATATTAATTAACAATGATATCAGTTTTAATAAAATCACTAATAATTCTGAAACGTTGCCGATAACCCTGGAATCGTGTTCAGATGTTTTCATAAATACACTCACACGAACGCCCAAGTGCACTTTGCGCCCTATTGGATAGTGTTTACAAAATCACGTTTCGCGAAGGCCGTTATTGAAACGCTAATTACATCACTTATATTTCATATTCAGCGGCGACAAATGAATCACTGCATTCTAAGGCTGGGACGGGTACTCGGGTACTCGAATCCGGGTCGGGTATAGCTGGAATCGAGTCCTATTTCTAGGAATCGATTATCCGGAAAGGGAGAGAGCTCTGTAATGACAAGGGCAGACAATAGCTTGTCTTTTTCATTTTTGACGTAACACACATTTACATCATTGAGTGAGTGAGTGAGTGGGTTTAGTTTTACGCCGCACTCAGCAATATTCCAGTTATATGGCGGCGGTCTGTAAATAATCGAGTCTGGACCAGACAATCCAGTGATCAACAACATGAGCATCGATGTGCGCAATTGGGAACCGATGACATATGTCAACCAAGTCAGCGAGTCTGACCACCCGATCCCGTTAGTCGCCTCTTACGACAAGCATGGGTTACTGAAGATCCATATTCTAACCCGGAAATTCACGGGTTTTTACATCATTGGTAATGTCCGATTAATGGAGCATAGTTTTAAGGACTGTAATTTATCTGTGCATGAGCAGTAAGTAGTTAAGTTACAGTAGCAGCAGGAACAAAACGTTCGTTGTTATAACGAGGAATGTTAGTAATGGTGTTACTCTCTATATTGGTTAAACAGACGTAAATTAAAAGCTTGAGGTCAGTTTTAATGTCTTATTACCAACTGTTCAAGTTTTCTGCAATAATCTCTGTCAAATCGTGATTAAATATTCAGAAAGTTGACCCGAATGTATTTCTTACATTTCCGGGTACGCGATTCCGATTCGGGTACGTACATGCAGGTACTCGATTCCATTGTTTCCTACTCGTCCCAGCCCTACTGAATTCCTCATACATTTTAGAATCTAATTACAACTGGTGTTTTTGGCACCAATACCAAGTGTCTAGATAAAGTGAAACGAAATATATCGGGGGTGGAAACAACTGCTGTGCTCGAAAGACAACACCTGTTTGAAATGTAAACAAAGACAATTTCAGACTTTACACTGTGTAGCATTTTGCATGGAAAGAGCATAGTAGCAAGAAATAGGAAATTAAAAATAGATACAATACAGGAATGTGATGTGTTTACACGAAACTGTCAAGTTTCTGTGCTGCGTGACGCCATGACTGACGCAAAATCACGCAGAACAACGGTAATAATCGGCATTTCTGGCTTCTTCTCTTTCTTAAAATGGGAGTGTATTTGGCAATTTCTCTGAGGTGAAGGTCGGTAGAATAGTAGAATAAGAGTATACACAATCACCATATCCCGTCGATTACACTTTAATCATCATAATGTAATCGTTTGGATAATTTTTCATGAAACTAATTTAATTATCTACATGTAGCCTTGTTCAATATCATATCATACGTGGGTATAGGGTGTACGTGTTATATTCTTTGAAAGTGTTTGTTTGAATAATATTTACAGAAGAAATTCACACATTTAGTGTAGTAAAGCATATATAAACCTTTCCGCAAGTGTTAAAAGTATGTAACTCTTCGTCAGAATGATTTCCAATATCGAAGTCCAATCCACGATACACCCTATCCTTTCTTTGCTGAACTGGCATCATGAAAGCAGTGTTAGCCATGAACGCCATTTGAAAAGTATCTCAAGGTCACTCCATTTCACTTGTGTCGGTGAATCTCGCCAATATACCTTGGTACCAAATTATTGAGTTATCGCCCTAACAAGCTTATTTGATGTATGAAATGCAACGAAAAACAAACACCCGCGTATTTACGAGTGATTAAAACTGTTATTACAATTTACGTAAATATTTATTACATTTTACCGCAACGAAAATTATTACAATTTACGTCAATTTTTATTACAATTTGCGTATTACAATTTACGTCAATTTTTATTACAATTTGCGTATTACAATTTACGTCAATTTCTATTACAATTTACGTTTTTATTACAAATTACGTCAAGTTTATTACAATTTGCTGCAAGTATTACAATTTGCGTTTTTATTACAATTTACGTCGTAACAACCCTCTTTCAACTTAATATTTATCGAACACATAAGAAGACTTATGCAACTGTTTTATCTCTGCGTCCAAGAACCATTTACACTTCTGTGCTGAGAAACATATCATGACTGGGAGAATTTGATACATAATAGATTAGCTCTTTAAAGGTGGGTTTCCGGTAGAAGCTGTGTAGTGGTTCCTGCACGTACATCGGCATGCTGTCCCTCCTGCGCACTGCGCAGTTGTCACGTAAATCCATATGTTTCTACACAAATACCCTGTCGGTGAATTTAGTCACTAAATATTTAATACTTGTGTACTTTTTAAATATTTAACCCGATACGGCACATTTAGTTTTTGAAATTGTGTGAGGTGATGTCCTGAATGTTTTTATTCTTTCCTTCCAGACACCACGCTTGAACGCAATAGCTTGATGGAAAGGGTGTACCCGAAACTGAAGGAATACTGTAGGGAACGCCACGGACTGGAGTTTCAGGTATGTCAGCCAATCAGCGCGCATGCTACCAATTTCCCCGGAGAACTTCCGGTTATTTCGCTCAACTCGCCATGCATGCTAATCGCATGAGAAAACGAATGATCAATGTCGTCAAAGGACAGTATTGATTTTGGGCATTGTGAACAGATCTCATTTATTTAACATTTATTGTGCCAGAGCTTTGTCTAGAGCTTAGGTTTTATAGCAATTTGGGGGGATTTCTGTCACTATAATAATACCCCCCAAGTGTATTAATCGATTAATGTATTGCTACATTAAGTAAAATTCTGATGCATTTTCATTGTTAAATCGTTATTTTCTAAATTGATTTTTTCTGTTGCATTTGGAATATCTGTAATTTTTTACAGAATCGTCTTTTCAGAAATTCACACATTTTGTAAAACCATTTTACCATGGTTGATGTGTTTCCTTTCTAATATTCTAAATGCACAAGAAGTAAGTGAAATGGCGATGGTATGTAAATGATTCAAACCCACATTGAGAGATAGAGGCATGCATACATACGTTCATCGATTAAACTTCTGTTAATACTCATTTATTGAATATTCTTTCGCAGAAGTTTGAAATAATCCATAAATAGATTTCAACGGATTTACTTGACGCAAGGCAATAGAAGATTATTTAAAGTCCATCATAAAATATCACTGAATATGTCTGCCTGCGGGGACAAAGGATATTTGAAAAGGAAACTTGGTGATGCAAGTCAGGCAGACCCGTGAAAATCCGGGTTAGAACTGAACTTCAGCAACCCATGCTTGTCTTGCCGTGAAGATCCGGGTTAGAACTGATCTTCAGCAACCCATGCTTGTCTTGCCGTGAAGATCCGGGTTAGAACTGATCTTCAGCAACCCATGGTTGTCTTGCCGTGAAGATCCGGGTTAGAACTGATCTTCAGCAACCCATGCTTGTCTTCCCGTGAAGATCCGAGTTAGAACTGATCTTCAGCAACCCATGCTTGTCTTGCCGTGAAGATCCGGGTTAGAACTGATCTTCAGCAACCCATGCTTGTCTTCCCGTGAAGATCCGGGTTAGAACTGATCTTCAGCAACCCATGCTTGTCTTGCCGTGAAGATCCGGGTTAGAACTGATCTTCAGCAACCCATGCTTGTCTTCCCGTGAAGATCCGGGTTAGAACTGATCTTCAGCAACCCATGGTTGTCTTCCCATGAAGATCCGGGTTAGAACTGATCTTCAGCAATCCATGCATGTCTTCCCGTGAAGATCCGGGTTAGAACTGATCTTCAGCAACCCATGCTTGTCTTCCCATGAAGATCCGGGTTAGAACTGATCTTCAGCAACCCATGCTTGTCTTCCCATGAAGATCCGGGTTAGAACTGATCTTCAGCAACCCATGGTTGTCTTCCCGTGAAGATCCGGGTTAGAACTGATCTTCAGCAACCCATGCTTGTCTTCCCATGAAGATCCGGGTTAGAACTGATCTTCAGCAACCCATGGTTGTCTTCCCGTGAAGATCCGGGTTAGAACTGATCTTCAGCAACCCATGCTTGTCTTCCCATGAAGATCCGGGTTAGAACTGATCTTCAGCAACCCATGGTTGTCTTCCCATGAAGATCCGGGTTAGAACTGATCTTCAGCAACCCATGGTTGTCTTCCCCTGAAGATCCGGGTTAGAACTGATATTCAGCAAACCCATGCTTGTCGCCTCTAACGAGACGAAATAGGGTGGTAATCGTATCCCAATTGCGTAGATCATGCTCATGATGTTGATCACAGAATTGTCTGGTCCAGACTCGATTATTTATAGACCGGCGTCATGTAGCTGGAATATTTCGTGCTTCGTTAAACAACACAGGAAACAAACATGTAGACATCTGTGCCTCTGTAGCCATTTTGTCCAGTCCAGCCCATTGCTGTCAAGGGCAGATAACTCTCTACCGAGCAATGTCCAACAGTGGAGCTGGTTGAAAGTAAAGTTCCTTCAGAGTCCTCCATTTGACGCATTTTCGGATAAAAGAATTTCTGTATCAAAGCGGATAGTGTTTATTGAGTAATTTCGCTGTGGGTAAGCGTCCCTTATGTTATCCGTCCGGAATGTAGGTTTTTCGGATTAATGAGGTCAAGTCAAACGACGTCCCGGTGTATGTTTTCGTCCAGGACAGAAAGTTTCCAATGTTGTTTGCCTGTGACTTGGCATTAGGTTGTACGTGCATGTACTCATTAACCCTAACAATAATATCTGCGGAATCTAGCACTGACTGACACGGACACACAGGGGTATACCTCCATTGCTGCGTTATCAAAATACATTGTTTCCCTCACGCGCGCGTCTACAGTCTCATCATCGATCAACTTTCAAACGTCCCCTTTGGATACGCCATTGCATAGATAGAATAATAAGATATCGATATATAAAGTTGATATTAACGTGTACTAGCTTGACCTCTAGTGATGACATCACTGAATTATATGCTGAAGTACAAAAGAGAGTACACATCTGGAACTTAGGAATATGTGTACGGTGTGACCTTTCTTTTTTACGTCAGTTTATTTTGACCATAAGGAACACGGGAAGGTGGAATGCGGATATAATAGCTTTTTACGAAAAATATCAATACTGTTGTTGATGCGATTGCTTAGATAAGACTACATAATGGAAGTGCCTTGGGTTGAAGGAAGGATTCGACTTCGAAATTGTGTAATAATTGTTTTAAACAAGGACTGTTATGTGTCTCTTGGTCGTCCTTGTTTGCGTGTAGTACGTGTTTAACTTGTTTCCCCTAATGCGGAAGCTGAATTTACTTCGGGGATTGCTATTGATGTGACACAATGCCCTTTTTAGGTAAATACTTCACATCGCCTGATGTTATAAAAAAAATCGAAAATTAGTCCAACCACAATGCACGCCGAAAATGTTACCTTGATGACTTCCGGTAATTTTGTGACTTCCGGTCGTTATATGAACTGATATCTGTTAATGTATGCTTGCAAGTTGACATATATCTGTTTAATGGGCATGTTTCGGTTCGATCTGATAAAGACAGTTAGCATCGTGGTCATCGGATTCACTCACGTTGTCATCGTCTTTTGTAGCTGTCTGGGATAGTTGAACGCCGTCATATCTCAGCTTTCATCTGCGCCATTTACACTCGGGATTTTTCAGGTGAATGATTGACTTGCCTTTGCGTGTGTTTGTGACTCGTGAAACTGATAGGGCAGGATACGTTCATCATTCCGAGAACACTTGGTACTGTTAACCTTTCGAACAACAGGTTATAAACAGGGTCAAGATATATTAGCAGATTTTTCCTTTGGTTAATGAAACGATTTCGCCGCTTTTATATTCACAAACACAACAGCGAATATCTGTTGAGCTAACAATGAAGGAGCAGGTTCATCCGAAATTTGCCCTTAAACATCCGGGCTAGAATAAGCAATCGGTGTTTTGTTGTAAGAGACAACTAACGGAATCGGGTGGTCATTCTCGCTGACTTGGTTGATTCAAGGATTCAAGCCATCACGGTGCCCGTGGCGGTGCGGTAGCGTTCGCTCGTCACGTCGAAGACCCGGGTTCGATTCTTCACATTGGTACAATGTGTGAAGCCCATTTCAGGTGTCCCCCGTCGTGATATTGCTGGAATATTGCTAAAGGCGGCGTAAAACTAAACTGACCCACTCACCCATCACCCGTAAGAGAGGCAATTAGATGGTCTGGGTTGGTTCTGTTGGACTCGGTGTATAAAATTAGGTGGGCAATGAAGGGCACACTCTTTAGTTCTCAGCAGGTGCATCGGGCCAAAAATGAAAGAACGAATAATATTGATTGTGTCAAAAGTGATGTGGGTGTACTCCGTCATCATAGTACAAGATCGATTCACATTATGCCAATCACTGGACTGTCTGGTCCAGACTCGATGATTTACAGCATACACCTGAAAAATTGCAGGAGCTCGTGTTTTTAAGGGTTTAGAGTATAGAGGTAGCAGTGTATGGCAGGACACACTGACAACTACAAACCTGTTCTATGTAGTACAGGACTTGAGTGTTCCGTTTTCACAGGCAGGACAACTAAACCGGAATCCGATTCAAAGAACTATTGACACAGATACCGCAAATATCAGATACAGATCGTGTATAGTACATCTGGTTGTACTACATATAATGTAGACTTACGCTTAGTCTCTGAATATATATTAGTTTTGATAGAAACAAATAATTCCTTTTAAATTGAAAAGGAGCCCGAGTGAGGGAGATTCAGAGCATGAGAAAATGTAAACTTGCTTCATTTCGGACTTGTAGACAGGGCTAGACAAAAGGGAAAATAAAGCGTTTCAGGGACTATGAGACATTGTATACATTGTATTGTGCGTTTCCTGTGGTGAAACAGCTTGTCGTGTTCCCGCTCGCCCTGTCATCCAATACGTTCATCTTAATTTCAATCTTCAAGGTTGCAGTTTCCCGTTAGTCCGATAATAATTAGACCTCACACAGCCCAATGCCAAAGAAGCCTGCCCAAATCGGGTTATCGTGTCCCCATGACAATAGGCGTTACGCAAGGCTGTCTATTTGAACGCGAGTTCTTTATGCTACTTGGTTATGGGGTTTTGTGTGAGTATAGTTTTGTTGAATATGTGATCAAACATGTATTGTTGCTGTTGTTGTTATTCGGATTAATTAAGTCACTGCCATAGACACCTGCATGGCGTGTAATGAGGGTGATAACAGTGACACAGTTTACCCACGAATCTGGCCGCCGCTAACCCATATGTGCCGTTTATGTCACTCAGTACACCGCTTTGACCGACCGTTACGTGGAACGTTATCCATTTGTAAAGAAGAATGTTGATATTTTTATGTCAAATGAAACATTTATTGGCGGATCCAGAGGGGGTGGGGTGGGGTGGGGTGGGGTGGGGTGGTGTTTCAGGGGTTCACACACACACACACACACACACACACACACATCGAGAACATGACTTAAGACCAGATTTTTTTTGCGTTGGCGGAGCCAATGGGGGCGC